GCGGACAGGCGGCCGCGAGCGAGCAGGATCTGGTCGCCGACTTGGAAATGGGTTCTTTGTCCTCTGAGTCCACTAATGCTTCTGCGACTTGTTTGCCCAATCGTTTTTTTGTTTTGTTTTAACCTTTTGTTGTGAGCTTATGGCCAATATGTTTTGTTTTGTTTTTTTTCTGGGTTGTTGACTCACCGAATCCACTCGGGAAATCAGAGATTGGACAGCCACTGGTCACGTAACTGTCCGCCGCTGTTAAGGCACGTCAAAACCGCCAGTGCCCTGCGGAGTGCTCTGAGGCAACATTGCACCGAACGTGGTTGTCAAAAAATGGGGTAGCCCAAGGACTTCTTTGTTTTCTATTACAAGAAGATTTGAGGCCCTGACACAAAGCACGACTCTTCTGTTTTGCACCCTTCCAAGAAGTCTGCGGCTAGGGCGCCCCTAGCTAGCCACCCACGAGCGCGCCACCAAAGACCAGGACTCCAACAGGGGAAGACGGGTATGGGTTTTCGATGTTTGTGTTGTTGTCGTCGTCGCTGCCGCCGTCGTCGTTGTTGTGGTGGTTGTGGTTGTGGTTGTGGTTGCTGTTGCTGTTGCTGTTGCTGTTGCTGTTGCTGTTGCTGTTGCTGTTGCTGTTGCTGTTGCTGTTGCTGTTGCTGTGGCTGTGGCTGTGGCTGTGGCTGTGGCTGTGGCTGTGGCTGTGGCTGTGTGCTGTTGCTGTTGCTGTTGCTGTTGCTGTTGCTGTTGCTGTTGCTGTTGCTGTTGCTGTTGCTGTTGCTGTTGCTGTTGCTGTTGCTGTTGCTGTTGCTGTTGCTGTTGCTGTTGCTGTTGCTGTTGCTGTTGCTGTTGCTGTTGCTGTTGCTGTTGCTGTTGCTGTTGCTGTTGCTGTTGCTGTTGCTGTTGCTGTTGCTGTTTGCTGTTGCTGTTGCTGTTGCTGTTGCTGTTGCTGTTGCTGTTGTTGTTGTTGTTGTTGTTGTTGTTGTTGTTGTTGTTGTTGTTGTTGTTGTTCTTGTTCTTGTTCTTGTTCTTGTTCTTCTTGTTCTTCTTGTTCTTCTTGTTCTTCTTGTTCTTCTTGTTCTTGTTCGTTGTTCTTGTTCTTCTTGTTCTTCTTGTTCTTCTTGTTCTTCTTGTTCTTCTTGTTCTTCTTGTTCTTGTTGTTCTTGTTGTTCTTGTTGTTCTTGTTGTTCTTGTTGTTCTTGTTCTTGTTCTTGTTGTTCTTGTTGTTGTTGTTGTTGTTGTTGTTGTTGTTGTTGTTGTTGTTGTTGTTGTTGTTGTTGTTGTTGTTGTTGTTGTTGTTGTTGTTGTTGTTGTTGTTGTTGTTGTTGTTGTTGTTGTTGTTGTTGTTGTTGTTGTTGTTGTTGTTGTTGTTGTTGTTGTTGTTGTTGTTGTTGTTGTTGTTCTTCTTGTTCTTGTTCTTGTTCTTGTTCTTGTTGTTGTTGTTGTTGTTGTTGTTGTTGTTGTTGTTGTTGTTGTTGTTGTTGTTGTTGTTGTTGTTGTTGTTGTTGTTGTTGCTGTTGTTGCTGTTGTTGTTGCTGTTGCTGTGGCTGTTGCTGCTGCTCCTGTTGTTGCTGTGGCTGTGTTATAGAAGAATCGTGATCTGTTTTAGGCGGGCTTGCGTGACTGGTGTGGTCACCTGCATTAATCATAAGTTATGTTTAACAAACATGAGCTAAGCTGTCTGCGCTGGAAGCAAAGGCCACCAAGTTGATCATTCCTCCAAATCCAAGCCTTTAGTTTTTTCCAGGGGTTTGCGAAGACGGTCAAGCACGACTTGCTGTATTTGTCCCTCTCTTTTTTTTGAGCGGGGCGGTTGTTTGTTAAGCGTCTTTCGGAAATTGAATCCCTTGTTCTATGGGGGAGGGTGTTTTCAGGTTGGAAGTTTGGGATTAGATATCCAGTTGCTCAGCGGCTTATTTTTCCCCTTTGTTGGGAAGGGTTCCCCTTAAAAACTCAACCGACAAAGGATGCCCCAATCTTTTACCAATAGAAATGTACTGGGTATCCAAGGCCACGGTCGCACGTTATATATTTTCCCCCAACAGCTGGGCCCCTGTTGGGTTCCATGTGAAGAACCCAAGGGTTGCTCACTGGGCCGCAGGATGAATCAAACCACAGGAGTAATTGCAGCTGTTTCCAAGCTGAGAACATTTTTGGGGCTCGTCTCTGCCCAGATAAGCGGGAGCCAGCTCTCGACTTGTTGCGTTGCAACTGGCTCTGGCGGTTTAAAACCGGCCGTTGGTCAAGGTTCCAAAAGGTGGCAGGCATTTAAGTTGGGGCCTTAGGTTTCTACAGGGCAACTGACCCCTTCTGTTTGCCCAAGTCTTCCCGCCTGAAGAAGGGACAACGGACCCTGCCGTCAATTTGCAGGTACGAGCAGCCCTTCATGGTGAACCAGGCGATCCTGCAGCAGGGCACCCCAGGCGCGGTAGAGCTTCCTGAGGTTCATGTGGAGTCGGTACCTTTTTTTGTGGAGTGGTGGTTTTCTGGGGAAGCCGAAATGACCCAAATCCATTTTGGGGGGGTCCCCAAATTGGGGACGCTAATGCCGTCCCTTTATCGGCTGCCCTTGTCTCGCATTTTTTGGGGGGCGGTTTGAGACACACCCGAAGGAATTCGAGGTGCCTACCAGAATCGGACCAACGGAAGACCACCTCACCTCCAAACCACCGGGCTAACCAGCACGAGGGAAACGGAGACTTTGAGGCAACCCTTAGTTTGGATTGGTTTGGACTCGGATTTGAACCTCCGGCTCCTTAAATGATGGGACGGCAGAACCTGTTCTTGTCCTTTCTTTAGAGTGAGGTAGGACCTTTTGTTGTAAACCGCAGGCAAGTTGTTCTGGAGCTTTGCGTGTGTCAGACATGTTCAAAGCCCGCTCTCACGGGGCACGAACCGCACGGTCGATTCGATGCGAGGGTTGCACGACTTGAGTTCCTCAAAGATGGTCAACTCACTCCCTGGGTTCAACTGGACTTTGGTCGCTTGGGGTTTGGACCATTTTAGTGGCTTTGACAAAAAGTTTTGGATTTTTTTGGACCAACTGCCGTTTTGGGAGCACTCCTGACTGGAACGCCCGATGAAGCACATTTGGGTGTGCTTCCTTTTGTTCAGGGGCACTTTTTTTTGGTTTTTAAGGGAAGCCAAAGGCCGGGCCAAATGGAAACAAACCATTTTTTGGGAACTTCCCTAAAAAGGCACACCCAGATAGCGCCGTCTACACGTCAGCGGTCCCTGTAGTTTTTGTTGTTGTTGTTTTTTTGGGGGGACGGTGGTGATGTTTTTGGGGGAACTAAAGCTTTGTCTTTTTTAGACCCCCAAATCCCAACACCAGCCTAACATGGAAGTGCACAGACCCCTGCAGAAAGACTACTTTCCTCTTGGGAAAGGCCTTTTTGCACTTCGGTGTTGGTTGGTGAGAGGGTACCCTCAAAAACAAGCCCCCTAGAGTCTCCATGACCCTTTCAAAATGGTTCCATGCCCCCTTTATTCTGGGTACTGACCAACCATTTTTTAAGGGTCATGGAGACTCCAGGCAGACCCATCCGGGGCACCCTGCACGCGTGCGACCTGTTTGGACCAGGGACGCATTTGGTGGTGCTGGTGCATGGCATGGTGGAGATCGAGGCCAACGGCATGGTTGTGGCCACAGTGACCCTTGGCTTTGAAGTTGGAGGTGGGCGGGCGAGCGGGCGGGCGGGCGGGCGGGCGGGCGGGCGGGTGGGTGGGTGGGTGGGTGACAAGATCATGACCATAGGTGGTAGGCTCGGTATCATTCTCTCGGGTGTCCCATTGCGAATCTTCCGGACAAAGGGTTGTGTCTGTGTGAATCATCAAAGCCAAACAAGTTCCATCCACCCCCCAAACATCGGTTTTTTCCGCCCAAGATCCCCAGTCATAAGTGTCCTTTTAGGTTGTTTTGGTCGAAAAAAAGATTGCGATTCCTGGCTTACCTGGTGGTTTAATCATGCACCAGGGCCATCTATTTCCTCTAAAAGCACACCTATGGTTGGAGCGGACTCCCCGCACAAGATCATGACCCTACTGTGGGTGGTTGCGAAATCCGTTTCGCACCACCTAAGAAACCCTGGTTTCGGATGATTCCCCTGTAAACACCAAGGAAGAATGGTTTCTGTTGGTTTCAAAGTGGTGCAGAAGTTCGTCCATCCACCACAGCTTTTTTCAGTTTGATTCAGAATAGATGGCACTGGTTTATATAGATTGGTTTCAATCCACTAACCAGAGCCCTCAGTTGCCCACAGCCATGCCTGAATATCGGGATTTTTGGGGCAACTAAGATAAAGCTGCTTCTGCCATCCCAGTCATTTAGTTTGACATGTGTGCAGTTTGTTATGGAGGCACAGGACTATTCAAGCTGCCACCCGGAATGGGATTTCAGCTGGAATGGGGGGGAGGAAATTGGATTTCGGGCCCTATAGGTTTGGCTCTCTGTTCAGGATTGAAGGGATGCCACAAGGACCCCTCCAAGCCATTTTTTATCTGGGTGTCTCTTTTGAGGGTGCTAGTTTTCAAGGGAACCGAAGGGGAACGACACCCTCTTTTGTGGGAGTCTCCTAAAAGAAGACCCGCCTGTTTTGTTTTTAAACGCCCAACTGGAATTGAGGAAAGGGCGAATTCTGATATAACACCATCTTAGAACCAAGAGTCAGCTTGGGTTTTGGTCACTCAAATGTACAAAATGCATGTCCTGGTTGCAAGTTTTGAGCGCATGCATGGCCAGCATGGCCAGCTCAGGAACGCTCCGGGGATCTTTGGGGAGAGAGGGCTGCTTGTCTCGGGCAGCAGAAGCGGCTTGGCCGGCAACTAGCTCAGTTTCGTGCTGCTTGTGACCTCATTGGCCCAAGCGAGAACAACAAGCATCACGCTCCACTCAGATGCCCAAGGAACGCAGAAATAAGAATGGGGAAAAGCCAAAAAGGGGAAAGGAAACCAAGAACGCAGAACTCAAGATGGCTAACCTTCTGGGGTCATGACAAAAATAGAAAAGCCGAGAAGGGGATTCGCCTTGGGCAAGTGGGTCCATTCTTGTGGACAGGCTCGTGTTAGGTCTTTTTCATGGGCTGTGGCCATATTTTTTTGGCAAGAGCCTTTCTGGAAAGGGAGCAAGATCTGGCTGTTTCTAAAAGCTGGCCCGGCCCAGCAAACGCTTCTTCCTTTGCCATGGCCGCTCAGTGCACGTCCTCCAACCGCCAAATCCCGGGTTTGGTGGCAGGCCTTGCCAGACTTGCCAGACTTCACTCGCCAGGGCATCGGAAGGCTCGAACACCCGTGGCCTCGCAGCATCTTGCCCAGGGCTGTTAGGACTGAACACCTTTTTGATCCAACTAATGGGGTTTTTCACCAAACCACCAAAAGTAAAAAAACAAAAAACATAGCAGGGCTTCGCAGGTTTCGCAACCGAGAAGTTCCTAAGAAGCCATAGTCGTCGCCCTCTTAAGTCAGCCTTGTGAGAGAGGAGTTGTGCTTTCCAGACTCTGGCGCCTTTTCGCGCGCCAAAAATGGGGCGCGCGACCCGCCCGGTCTGTTTTTCTTGCCGCAGCCAGAGGCTGAGGAATAGTTCCCTTAGCGCCGGCCTCTTTTACCGAAACCCCCCATCCCAGGTCAAACACCTCCAAAACGCTTCCGACCGAAGCTGCCCGCCCGAAGCGAGCCGTTTCCATCCGTCCCGCCGAGTCAAACCCAGCGGCGGGTGAAATCCCAGGCGGCGCCACGGTGAGAGCCACCACGGTGGCCGAGTGCATGATGCTGCCGGTGGACGGGCCCTCCACCCCGGTGCCTTTCGCGGCGAAAAGCGGGGGGGGGTGTGAAGTGGTTGTGCTTTTCCTTTTTTTTGCCAGGGGGGGGGGGGGGCTTGTTGAAGCATATGTCCGCCTATGATGCTTGTGTTTCAGTGTTTCTTGGGGGTGTAGTTTTTTTTTCTCGGTTAGGCATGTTGACATGAGCATCCTTTATTTGGCCGCTGGATCTTTGCAGAGATGGTCCTCAAACAGTTCAAGTTACTCTGCGGTTCCCAGCCGTCCGGTTTTTAGGTGTTTAATGGGTTTGGTGGTTGTTTTCATTTCACCCACAAGTTAATGTTGCCCCCATATTAATCAACCAACCAGTTTATTAATAGGGTGCTGTCCCCCTCCAAAGGTGACTAATACTGTGGATGGACGAAATCCTGCACCACCTAAGAAACCCTAGAATGATATGATCCCCTGTACATACCGTAGCAAACAATGGTTTCAACCATGGTGTCTTGGGTGGTGCGAAATGGATTTGGCAACCATCCACTGTATGGGTCAACCTTTTGCGCTTCTCGCCCCGGGGATCAACAAAAATGGAGAGGCCAGCTCTCGGCCTTTGGCCAATCCAAGCCGGTGCTTCAAGGTGATTCGGCAGCTCTACGAGCAGGACATGAAGCCGCTTGGCTCGTTTCCCGTTTCCCGTTTCCCGGGACGGGGCATGGGCATCTGATCCGGTTTTGGCAAAGCCACGGGATCTTGGGTCCTTCGGGTTGACCACTGGGTGGTTTTTGAGGTTTGGCCTAGGCCCCAAAAGGCATCGCAGACGTGGGCCACAGGAAGGAATTCTGCAGTTTTGTTTGGCCACAAGGGTGCGAGTTATATCAGTGTCCTTGCAACCCCTTCAGGCTTTCCAGGTGGGCAAGTGACGTGGGAACCCTAGACGAGGCTCAGCAAGACTTGATTTGCTGGCTGGGAGGGCTAGTGGAGGGCTCCAGCGACGAATCGCAGGACATCTGCCATCAACAGGGCTTATAGTCTCACTCGCTGATTGTTTTTTTTATCGTTGTTGGGACATTTGGCATACTACTTTTTTTGGTTGCCTCCCACTGAGAAGTGAGTTGTAGAGGGTAAGTGGGAAACGCCGGAACATGGTCCAGACACCCGGGCTTCATACCCCACTGTTTTTCCCCCTTCTTGGCCACCACTTTTGGTAAAGGTCCCAAGGTGATGCCCCACAGGTCCACGAGCATGTCTGACTGTCTCCGGGCCCCGAAAGCCGCCGCCTGGGTAGATCGAAGGCAAAGAAGCCGGGGCGGTTTTCCTTTTTTTTTTGGTCCCATTTGAAAAAAAAGACCCTGAAGGCGTCACCCGTGATTTTTCCACGAGTCCCACTTAAGCCGATCGAGCGCAAAGCGCGGTCGAGACGAAAGTGGCCGAGGACGCTGGAGCGGATGCTGCAGAAGAAGATGGCCTCCACGGTGCAGCGCCTCGCCACCGAGAAGGCGGGCGGGCCCCGGTGTCGGGTTTACGGGTTTCGGGAGATGACGCGAGCGGTTCCACCGATTCCAGGGGGTACGGGCGATGAATCTTCCGGCAGGATGTTAATTAGGGGTTTCTTGTCCAAATCCAAAGAAAGGCAGTGGTTTCCCGGAACTCCAAACCATCCCTCCAAAATTAAACAAGTCCACCAAATGCTGACCTTGGATTAAATGGGACACCCTGTTCATCAACCACGGGTCCTGCTCAACTCACCAATTCCCCCAAAAGTCGAATCGACCTTACCTGCCCCCTGTACGTGCCAAGAAGCGCAATGGTGTCCACCATGGTTTCAAAGTGATGCGAAGGGATTTTGCAACCGTCCACGGTATTTCCAGGCCGGCCACGGAGCTTTTCCCTGGGACCCAGGATGTTAACTGGGGTGGACTTAGGATACGTTTTACATCTTGCCAGTGACTCAAAATGAAGCAAGCAATAAGATATACATTCAAAACAAGCAATAACAACAACTGTTACTATTTGCTAACATTCATTATGCCCAATAACAATAACAAACAAGAACTGGTTGCCCAACTCTCACGTGAAGACCCCAAAGTTGCCCGCCGGGTCGAAAGTGGTCGCCTCAGCTTTCGTGGCTCCAGGGCTCGAACCTCCCGACGCAGCCTGGGGCCCCGGAGGAACAGGCCTCGGCTCGGCGAGCTGAACTCCAGAGCCCCGGTCCGGTCGCCCATGTCTCGGTGGTTCGGGTGGGGAACCGCGGGGTTTTGGCCACCCGGTTTTCAACCCCCCCCACCCTGGCTCAACGCAAACCCCAAACCCCAAACCCCAAACCCCAAACCCCAAACCCCTAAACCCTTCCAACAATCATGGAAGCTGACACGAGGCTTTTGCAAGACTACTGGCGCCTTTTCAGGAAGCCCGTATCTACTTCCATGATTGTTGGAAAGAGGGTAAACTCCGAACCCCCCAACCCCACCCCCCAACTCCCCGACCCTTCCCCAGGTAAACGGGGCATCCCACCCCCGGAACACCAAACCAGGCTCCAAACCTCCAATTCGAGTCTCAGGTCTGTTGAAGCTCACTCGTCGAGTTCACCGGATCTGACCTTGAGCTTTCCCCGCTGGGGCAAACGGCTGTTCGACCGGCCTCACGGGGTTCCTGAATTTTGATTGAAACTATGTGAGTGGCAAACAAGTGTCTTTCCTTGTTTTGGCGGGATACCACCAGGGCTTATTTTGTTGGTTCTGTTTTAGTACAGTAGGGGCTTCCTGCAAGAAAAAAGTCGTTGGCACCATGCCAAGGGTTGGAACGAATCCCAACCTCATTTTAGCGCCCCGCGAGTCTCAAGCTTGGATTTGGGGACTCGGGTGAAGGGAGTTTCCGAGGCAGAGCACCAGCTTCCTAAAGAACTGCGACCCCTCCTTCCTGACGCGCATGGCCCAGCATTTTGAGAAGCAGGCCGTGTGCCTGGGTCGGGGGGGGGGGGGTAGGGAGAGGGAGGAGGGAGGGGGGAGGAGAGTTCAAGAGATTTCAACTTAATCATACACGTTTGGTTGGTGGGGAGATGGAAACCCATCTCTGAACTTTTTGGGAAAACACCGCCCAGAGTCTGCAGATGAATCTGTCCGGGGTTAAGACTGGCCGGCTTGCAACTATCAAGTTGATAGGCCCTCCCCAGCCCGGACGCAACGTATACCAAGCCCACAGCTCACCGATTCGGTGGAGAAACGAGTTGTTTTAGCGCCCCTGCAGATTAACCTAGATTTCAGTAGTGCCCTTTTACCCTTTTTTGGGGGGAGGGTTCCCCTACTAAAATAGACACCGAAAAAAATGGGTACCAACTTATTCTGAGCTCTCTACTGGAGGACCTAGTAACATGCCCAAGAAGTCTCTAGCCCCGTGAAAAACCTTGCCGGTTCCGATCCGGAATCATCCGGTTCCTTGGTGGCTGGTTCAGTGGTTGGGTTTCCGAGTATCCGCAAGTTCTCAACTTTTGGGGGATCAGAGACGGAGAAATGGACGGCCCAGAAACCTGGGTGGCTCAAAATCAAACGATCGGAGGGCCAAACCGCAGGTTTTGGTCCATGTTTCCACTTACCAGGGCAAGCCATTTTGGAATTCTCCGGTTTTTTGAATTCGCCACGGCCATATGTCCAAAACCTCCAAGCCTCTAAGTTCCAACTCCTTAGGCCGTGGGCGCCAAAAAGGCGCGCCAGGAGGCTGGGACCTGTGGACCTGCGGAGTGCCAGTCGCCAGGTCTTTCTGCCTGGCCAGAACTTGGTGGAGAAAGGCTATGACGCGGGCTTCTGCTTCCTCATCCAGCAAGGCTCATGGCGCGGGGCATGGCGGCAGTTGAGAACCCAAGGGGAAAATTTAGGGGACAAAACCTGTATCTTCCTCTCCCCCCAAAACCAGCCGCTGCTTGTTGGCAGGACCTTGGGATTTGGGACATCAATGCAGTTGTGGATTCTGGATGGCATTGGATTTCCGGTCTCTGTGAGCCAAGGTTCTCTTCCCTTGATTCGACGTAGTCGCAGGCATGGGACTTCATCTTTGTCACACAGTTATGGAACCTGACTACTTTCCTTTGGGCATGCTTAAGGTGATATGTTGATGGCAACCTGCACGTTTAGAATCGCCCAGCGCTCCGTATGTTTCCCATGTGGGTGGAGTTCCAGATAAAGTGATCCTCCTTCAAAGATGGGGTCATGAAGAAGCAGGAGAAGCATTTGACATCTTGTTTCGCGTATTCGGCCGAGGTGAAGCACTCTGGGCTTCCCCGGCCGGTATTTTATTAACATGGAAGCCAACCATGGGTGGCTAGTCTTTTCGGAACTGGGTACCATTTCTTTTTGGGGTTGATGTTAATGGGAAAACAAGGACAACCCACTTCTTCTATTTTTCTTTTGTTTTTTGGGGGGTCGATTCCTCAAACACAGACGAGCCAGTCTCATTTTGCAGTTCGGAATCTCCATTCTGGGACCACAGGTCTTGCTTGCCTTGACTCCTTCACACCTCTCACCTCTGGGAAAGCCCAACAGAATGCCAGGGGCGAAATCATGGCAAAGATTCGTTTCTGAACATGACTTAAGTTGGCTTTCCAGCATCGCATAGGGGCAGGCGAGCCTCGACCGGCGTTCAGGAGAAGCTATTGTGGAGATTGACGGCGGGGAGCCGCAGGTGTTGGCAAAGCCTGGCATTTGGTCGTTGGTGGTTTGGGGATTTAAACGTCCCCACCTCCTTGAAAACTCACTTTCTGAGTTCCTGGACTTTAAACTTTTTGAACAGACAATTTTAGTAGCAAACGCACAGTTGGGACTGTTTCTGGCCAATCCGCTCAACAAGTGAGAAAATGGAATTGGGCGTGGAGATCGCGGCTGATCTCAAGGTCTATGTCGCTTTGTTTGGTCGCATTTGGGTTTATAGCCTCATAAGTAACCCTCCCTTCCACTAACATGGCACCTCTGGGCGGGTACTGTACCTGGAAGATTGGTTTCCTCTTCAAATAAACCCCATGTCTGGTGCCATGTTAGTTGGGGGGGTAACCCTTGTTGTGTTTCTTTTCCTTTTTTTTGGGGGGGATCCCTGATGTGTGCCAGCTTGGTGCTTGCCTGAGCCGAGGTCGCCTTATCAAGCGGCTGATGCCTGGGGAGCCCTGCTCCCCAGTCTTGCAACCAGCTTGGAGGAATCTCAGCCACGTGCTCAAAACCGATTCGGGTAGATGAAGGTTCGTAAGGGGCAATCCCAGCCATCTCAGTTGTTCAGTGGCACCAATTCTTTTTCCAACTTTTTTTGGGTGGCTGCCCCACTAAAATGGTCTTCCCAAAAAAGGGTTCCCTTTTTTTTCCAGGGTGGTTAGTAATGTTAACCCCGGATTAAGCAGAACCCCTGGTTGATTTTGATCGGGGGTGTCCAATTCGTTTTAGTGGTTGGATTCGGACCACTTTTGGAGGGAACACCCCCTAATAGTGGGACGGGTCTATTAACCCTGGGTCAACATTAAGGGGCAATCCCAGCCATGAATAGCTGCGGCCGTCTTAATACTTTACATGGCTCTGGGATTACCATTTTAATAACGGCTTTGGAGTATGACCCCCAGCAATTGGTGCCCTTTCTCTCCCCTTCTTTGGTTGGGAGGGGGACCCCCTACTAACATAGACTACAGCAAAAAGTTGGCGCCAACTTATTCTCAACCGCTCTACTGGAGGACTTAGATGGAAACCAGCCATAAACTGCCGCTTTTGAAGGGGAAACCCAGTGATCCCTATCCGATTTTCTTACTGGAGGACCTGGCCATGAAATCGGATCATCCACATGAGGCACGGAGGGAGCCTCACTCCCGAGCCGGAGCCCCTTCTTGGTCGAGTTACATGTAAGGGGCGAATTGTGGATAGTTTTCTCTCTAATCGCAAAGTTGGTTTTCAAGTGCCAAATGGCAACGAGTCAAACTGGGTCCATGAAAGTCAAAACTACACTGTAAACTCTGGTTTCAGGAGAAGCCACCTAAGTAATTTTGAGAACCCTTCAAGCCCACTAAAGTCTCTCCCTCGCACCCCAATCTCAGGTTCCCTGCACCCCACGCACCTAAAACCTGCCGGCACCCCAACCGGCCGAGCTTCCCCCGAGTTTGATCGCCGGATGCAAAAGCAAGCAACCAAGCAGCCAACCAGCCACGCAACCCGAGCAACCCGCCATGCAACTCGCCAAGCCCTCCACGCAACCCACGGCTCCCGAAACCCGCCCCCTGCCTTCTTCCCCAGAACTAGTTCCCCCTTTCATACTTTGTGTTTTGGCTGTTTCGGTGTTTGATCTTGGTTTTCCACTCCCCGGGCCAAAATACAAAAGAAACAACGATCTCATTTTCATGCTTTTTTGTTTTCCACTCCCCGGGCCAACAAATATATATATATATATATATCTATCTAATTTTTTGGCCGGGGTGGTCCTCTTCTAGCCCAGCTTCCTCCAGCCGTTCCAAAAATTGGCGCCTCGGCCGAAGCCCGCGGCCGAAGCGCGGCCTTTCAAGTCCGGCAGGTTCCTGGGGGAGCTGGTGGCCCTGGGCTTCGCGGAGGTGGCCACCGCCACCGTGCGCGCAGAGACCAGGCGGGGGGTTTGGGGTTCGCTCCGATCGATCCGGTCCGAGATCGGCTGGAGGTGGTGGGTGTTCGATATATATTTTTTTTTGGGGGGGAAGGGTGGAAAATGGGGGGGGGGGGGGGCGATTTGGGGGGGGAAAAGGGGGGGGGGAAAGGCAGAGTGAGGGATGGATTTTTTGTTGGCATGGCATGTGCATGTGTCCTTTTGGAGTTGGTTTACGCCCCTTTTGGGGCCTTCTTGGAGTTGGTACTCATTGTGGGGGGTGGTTTTGCAAGGGCAATCCAGAAAGAGAACCGCCTTTCGGACGTAAATGTGTTCTCGTTTCGGTCCTGATTGCGTTTCGGTCCCTACTTTCGAACTTGCTCGCTGGTGGTTGGAAAGGAGCCGGACTTGGAGCTGAGACCTTGTCTCCAAATCTGCTTTTATGGAGGGAGTTGCGTAAGGACGTCGCTAATTGGGTGTATCTTTGGAGTTGGTACCCGGTTTTGGTGGGAAACCAGAGGGAAACCATGTTTTTTTTGTTTTTTCCAGGGGTTGATTCCCCATTCTTTTGAATCATCATTCTTTTCCAAACACCTGCCGTTTTCCCCGGGCTTCTGGGGGTTTTCTGGAAAGAAGGACCCCGGGAAAGAATGGACATGGAAGGTAGCCCTAGATTTTTAGGTGTCCTAAAGGAAGACACAACCAGATGTGTTTCGGTCCCAACTTTCAAACTCGCTTTCTAGTTTCGGTCCTAACTCTTCACTGCTATTGGGTTGGATCTTTAGACCTTAACTTTTTGGGAAATCAAGGGGTTTTCCATTTTTTGGGAGGAACCAAAAAGAACTGGTGGACAAAGCAAACACAAGGCAGCCTTGGCGGTTCCCAGCCAATTGTCCGGTTTCTCATGTGTTTTTTTCCAGAGAAGGTTTTTGGTTGCTTTAGTGGTGGGGTTTTCGAGTTTAACACGACGCAAGTTATTCACTTTTTGCAGTGGACCAGTTAAAACAGACAGCCCAGAAAGGCGATCGCCTGTTGTTTTCAGGTCTCGGTTGCGAGCGAGGAGAACTTGGCTGAAGTTGGCAAACAGGTCTCTGAAAGTGAGCACGCTGCTGGTTCTCACAAGATGGAGCTGTTTAGCTTGGCAAACAAAGAAGAACGAAACAAAGGGCACCAGCCATTTTGGGGGCATTCCCATTTTGAGAACCATAGAACCCAAAGGAACCCCAACCAACCAACTCAAGTTTTTGAGTCCCGAAACCACTACTTCCAGGAGAAATTGGGGTATATACCCTCTACAATTATAGCGGCTATTCTGTAGTGGCTGTACCCTGAAACCACTACGCCCAGGGGGGAATTATAGTGGCATATCCCATTCAACCCGTGGGGTAGCTTCGGTTTGGTGGTTTGGGGGGAATGGACGCCATCTCAGATTGAGGGTTTCTTTCCGGTTGGACCTCAAGTCCCCCGATCACTCGGGAAACATCCCCCACTTCTGTGAGACCTCTCGATGACATTTGCCCCCCCCCCCCCCCCCTTTTTTTTTGTCGACTTCGTCGGCAGGATGCTGACCTTCGCCATCAACAACACGGCCTTCCGGGAGGTGGTGGACGAGTTTCCCGAGGCCCGTTGAAGTCCAAGACCAGAATCCCCCGGACCGGACCGAGGGTCCCGGGCTTTTTTTTTCCTTCGGCGAAAAGAGCTTTGGGTAGCTGAAGGAAAAGGCGCCCAGCACGGTGTTTTCTTCCTCCGGGTTTTAGGGAGCCCCCCCCCAAGAAAAAGAAAGAAAAAGGTGTTTTCTTCCTCCTCCTCTTGAAGTTTTGGGGCCCGTAAACCAGCTGAAAAGGGAGGCTCAACCAAAAATGGGTCACTGTTCTTGGCCGGTGTTCAGTTTTAGCGCTTTGGTTCCGTTCATGTGCCGTGGGTGGCTTCAAAAACCAAAGAACGCCTTTTGGTCAGGTACCACGGGTTGGAAAGGTATGTTCCAGTGGATGCCAACATGTGGGGGTTGATCAATATTCCTGCCCCCCCCCAACTGACCATGGGTGCTTTTTCTCCCCATTTAGTGGGACATCTCACATTTGTGTTTGTTCTTTCTCTCGTGGCTGTTCAAGGGTCATGTTCATCGGAGCTTTTGGTCAACCCCATCATGTCGCGAAAGGAAAAACCGAAGAACCGAGCACCCCATGGCTGCCACTGCTAGCCCTTCTCCAGGAGAAGCAGAAGCTGTTGGACTTGATTCAGCAGAGGCCGCAGGCGCTGGGAGTCGCTGGGAGTCGATGGGCTGGGGTGGGGTTTTGGGGGTTGGCTGCAAGGGGGTCGGGGCAGCAACGGCTTGCCTTGCGGGGGATTTCGGCCGACAAGGCTCGCCCCAAAGTGTTGGTCTGTGGCTGTATCTTTTTTTTTCTTTCTCTCCGGCATCTGAACAAAACGGGCTCACGAGAAGGGCCTTTGTTTGGGCTGGCTGGATTTGAACGCGGAGTTCCTTGGATGGCTTGGGGCATGTGAATGCGGAATTGATTGCTGTGACAGGATCACTTGGCTTTTGGGCTTCTTTGGCTCCTTGCTTGCAGGGGAAAGAACTCAAACTTCAGGGCTGACTTGCTGTCGATTCGCCAAGACGAACTGCCACACTGATTGCTTTACCGCAGGTTTTTGCAGTTGCCTTTTCTGAAGAAATCCGCGGATCAAACAGTTCCATGCAAGGCCAATTTGCTTTCTTTAAGACTGGATGTCTTTTTTGGTTGTAATGGAGAATCAGCAAATGGACACCTTGAAGGATTCCTGTTCGTTTCGGAAACCCACGGGCTCATTCTCCTTTGGAGCAATGAACCTTTATGGCGATTTGCTTGGATCCTTGCATTTCATTGGTTTTTTTTTGATGCTCCATGAGACCACAAAAGGTTAAACTTTTTGTTGAGGGGTCAACAGCATCCAAGGGGTAAAGCTCAAAGCACAAAAGGAAAAGCTGGAAATTGGTTTCAGTAGATTTCGCTTAGGCATCAAATTCCTACTTGTGCGTCAACCCCACTTTTGAAGCTACTGTCTTCACATCCTCGTGGGTTTGAACCACCCTCGCCATACTCAAATGGGCCTAGGGGTTTACGTCGACGGGGCTATCCACTTGGAGCAAAATCAACGTCATTTTTTGCAGAGGAGGCAACAGCAACCAAGGAACCACGGAGCCATGGGTTATATTAAGGGTAGCTTCCATTCTCATTCTTTTCAGGGATCCGAATTTCTTTGCAGGAAACCATGCAAACACCCAGGTTGCAAACAGCGATCGGTTTTTGAAAAGAAGGATCGTTGAAAGAATGCACACGCTGAAAAAGAATCAAACCCTAGAAATGTGCATCTCTTGGAGCAACACCCACTCACTTCTTGCGCCCTGGGTTTACGTGCATAGGTGTCCTTTTTGGTTGTTTTGCTAGAAAACAGGATGGCGATCCCTGGTTTACCTGGTGGATTTTTTTCTCATCTACCAGGGAAACCCATCTATTTCCAACCTAAAATTGGACACCCACTGTGGATGGACGAAATCCTGCACCACCTAAGCAACCATGAGACACCATTGTTTGTTGGTATTTGCAGGGGAATCAACATAAACCAGGATTTCTTAGGTGCTGCGAAACGGATGTCGCAACCATCCACCGTATGTTTACGTCTGGGCTCCCCCCCCAAAAAAAAAACCCTTGGCTCGCACTGAACTCCGCGCCGACCCGCCGAGAGTCGCGGACCCGCGACTCGGTCCCTCGGAGAGAAAGGTGGAGCCGAGGCGCCGGGGCTCGCGCACCTTCGCCGCCGCGGTGATGGCGGCCTCGGCGGAATCGGATCGGGGGGTCAAAATCCGCGGAAGGTGGGGACTCGGATCGGCTGGAAAAAAAGGTCCATTTTGGCGTTCTCCGTTTTTTTTTTTTTTTTTTTTTGTTGAGAAAGATGCCAGATCCTCCCAATCCCAGACACCCGGTTCGATAGCTTCTTTTTTTTCCTTGGGGGGGATTGAGGGAGCTTTGTTTCTTTAGACAAATGCCACAACATCCGATCCCCGATCCCCGACCTCCGATTCCCTAGTTTGTTTTTGTGTTTTCTTTTTCAGGGGGGGGGGTTCAGGGCTTAAGCAGTTGTTTTTTATTCTCCCATGTTGGCTTGGCGGTCCCCAGCCGTGCGGCTCCTTAGGTTGGAAGGTTTCTTTTCGGGTTTTGTGGGGGGCTCAAGGAGGATCTGAGGACAGCCCAGTTGGTTTTAAAGGGATGTTTCAGCAACTCAAGGGTTAGTAAGCCTAAGAACCCAGTGACTCACAAAAAGGAAAAGACATGACTTCTGTCACTTTTGGGTTTGGGCTATTTTTAGTGGCAAACAGTAAGTTTGAGTTTGTGGGCCAGTCCACTCCGACACAGGAAGCGAGGTAAAGCAAATTGTTGTTCCAGAACTTAGGGGACATCACCGTGCTGGTAAGGGAATTTGTGGCAAACAACAAAATCCCGGACTTCTTTTGGCCAATCCACTCGATCGGAAGTGAGATTCGGCCTCTACTAGGGCCCAAGGCGAATCGACCGGATCTGACCTTTAGTTTCGCCTTGGGCCCCCTTTTTGTGGTTTTAAAGGGAACCCGCAGGAAAACCACCAGCATCTTGGGCGCCTGAAAAAAGACGCACCCGTTTCGAGCGAGCCGCGGCCCCGAAAGTGGATCGCCGGTTATTTCCAGCTGCCGTTGCGGCAACTGAGATTGGCTTCGTAATGTTTTGTTTCCTCCCAACCCGTCCCCAGAAGCCAGTTCAAAAACGAGGTTTGGGGTTGCGAAAGTACCTCAGAATCCCGCACACATTCCATATACATATATGTATGTACATATGTATATATATATATGTGTGTGTGTGTATATAGTTGTGAAGGGTAACGGGAACCCTGGATTAGACACCCCCTGGTTGAATTTGATTGGTGGGGATTCCCCCCTATTAAAAGGACCAGTTCTACTTAGATCCGGGGTGAACATAACATGACCATATTACATATAATAGACTATATATACACATACTGTACATATTTGTACATGAAAAACAAGGGGCCCGCTGAATCCCAATGAAGTCTTGCAGCAGCAGAGGCCTGAGCAACCCGTCCAGTAGTCAATTTGCGAGGGACATGGGGGGGGGACTCGTCAAATTTCCGGAAAAAACAACAACTCTGAA